GAATGAATTGATCAAACATTAGTACCTTGTAATCTTCCACTTGAGCCTTTTGAATTTTCCATGTGCTTTTCTTACTAGAGACAGAAAGTCGAGTGACTGCTTTCTTTTTTGCTGGAAGTTTTCCGTGGTGCAAGATGAGAGAATATAATGTTAGATCTAATGTAGATTTCTTTTATAAAAGGAAACATTAAAAGAAAATCGAAATGTTATTGTATCCTGTAAAAACAAGAGTATGAGAGCCAGTGTGGGTTAGTGGTTTGAGTGCTGGAGTATGACTCTGGAGACCAGGGTTCAAATCCCGGCTTAGACAAGTAAACCCACTGGGTGACATTTGGGCAAGTCACACTCTCTCAGCCTCAGAGGATGGAAATTCTCCCCCCCCCCCCCAAGAAACTTGCTTAGAAAATCCCACGATAGGGTCGGCATAAGTTGGAAATGACTTGAAGGTACACAACAACAAACAACAACAAAGCAAAGTTAGGAATTGTGTGGCCCTTTCAGATATTGTTGAGCTGAAACTCCCAGTTTTCCTCACTATTGTCTGTGCTGGCTAAAACAGCTGGGTGTTTCAGACCAAGAACATCTGGATAGACACATAATTCCCCTCTTGCTGTAGCAGACAGGGAGTTGGAAGCATTAATATAAGGAAATTAGTTGTTTTTTAAAAATGTGTCTACCTACTATGCTTTTCACGGGCCCATAGCTAGCATGTGAGAAATAAAAAGTTCTAAACTCAATTTCTCCCTAGCATGCTAACTTTATGTGTCAAAGGAAATTCTTTTTATGGTGGCCCATTCAATAATGTGATTCTCCTAGTTTGAAGAGATACAAACCAAAAATAAGGTTTTGAGGGTTCCCAATTGACTGGGAACTTTGTTTCATGCACACCATTATTAAAAATACTGTCTATAAAATTGCATTCAGGCTGTGTGTATGAGGTTCAGTGGGCCCTTGGTATCTGCTGTGGTTTGGTTCCAGGAATCTCCAAGGATACCAAAATCCATGGATGCTTAAGTCCCATTAAATACAATGACATAGTGAAATGATGCCTCTTATATTAAATGCCAAAATCAAGGCTTGCTTTTTGGAATTTACATATTTTTGGAATATTTTCAAGCCATGGATACTGGAATCCGTGGATAAAGAATCTGTGGATATGGAGGGCCAATTGTATATATGAAACATAAATGGATTTTGTGTTTGGACTTGGTCACATCTCTATGTATATGCAAATATTCCAAAATCCAAAAAAAGCTCTGAAATCCCAAATACCTGGCCCCAGGCATTTTGGATAAGGGAGACTCAGCCTGTAATGCTTGGTAAGGAGAAGAGGAAGACCACATTCCAGATGGTAGAATTCAAAGCTATAGCTGTGTTAATCTGTAGAATCAGAATGTAGAGAGATCCTGTAACACTTTTGAGACTCACTGAAAGAAAGAAAGTTGGCAACATGAGCTTTTGTAAACTAAAGTCTACTTCCCCAAATGCACCTGAGGAAGTAGACTTTAGTCTATGAAAGCTCATGATACCAACTTCTTTCTTTCAGTTAGTCTCAAAGGTGCTACACGATCTCTCTACACACACATTCCAGATGGATAGACTCATTCAAGGAAGCTGCAGTCCTGAGTTTGCAAGACCTGAGCAGCGCTGTTGATGACAGAGTAACGTGGAGATCTCTTATTCATGTCACCATAAGTCAATGTCCACTTTATGGCACGAAAGAGCTTCTTTCCCTTTTGAGTGGGACTGCCTCCTCTTTGCCACTGTTGCTGCTGTCCACTGGCTTAGCTGCTGCTTCTGGACCTTGTCTGCACTGACCAGAAAGAAAGAGCAAACCCAGTGGAGCAGTGACTCTTAGATTTTGGTCTCCAGATGTTTTTGACTCCAGGTTCCTAAATCCCCTATCACTGGCCATGCTGGCTGGGCTACTGGCAATTGAAGTCTCAAACAGCTAGAGCTCCAGAGTTTGAAAACCACTGAAGTAGACGGTAGCGTACCACCTTCTCACTCCTGTCACTCTTTTCATGTTTAGTGAAGACCATTAAAAAGACAACAGCCACAAGGAAGAGGAGTCTCCAGTGGATGGGTGTTTTACTGATCCCGACCCTGATGCTTGCCATGTTCACCACTTCAGAGGGAACAAGACCACAGTCAGACCTGTGTGCATTTTCATGCTTATTTAGGATTCTTTATCTTCTTACCTCATTGACTTTATCTTGAAATCAGAGCTAGAGAACATTTCTTCTGCCAGTTGTATATAACGTGCTGTTCTTAGTGCTTTGTTGACAAAAGGTTTGGTGGCGGGCAACACTATCACAGCTTTACAAGTGAGCAGTGCAACCTTTTTACCCTCAAATCTATGCCTGAACTTGTTTCTAATTTCAGCTTTGCCAATGAGGTATGAAAGTAGAGAAGACAGCCAAGTGCAGAGGTTGGGTTGTTTTCTACAAAAGATCAGTGTGGGTACTTCACTATTGCTGACTCCCATTTAATGTTAGCAAGAGGCTGCTGTGTGGTTTAAGTCTGGTACGTAATCAAACTCATAACATCTGCTCTGAAGACTTGTATAGAACAGGACAAACTCTGTTTATCTCCTCTTCAGTTATTCCTATAAAACTGCCTTT